GAAGGGTGGCGCGTGCGGAGCTGCTGGTGGGACCGTGCTGCGGGGTGGGCAGCGCTCCGGCCCGTGCCCAGCTCAGCTGCAATGCCCACCTGTGGCACTGGGTGCTTATCCACAGTCGTGCATGGGTGCGCACGCGTGTGCCATGGGGGATGCGTGAAAACTGCTGGAAATGGGGTACAGACGGGTGGTCTGGGTGACTCTGCCTTCTCCAGGCTCCATCCCCGCTGTCCGTGTCCCTGGCACGGAGCAGGGCTGAGAAGGGGCAGGAAGGGGTAAGCAGGGTGGAAACTTTCTGATGTCATTTAAATGAAGTCATCTGCGCCTCCAGAAAAATCACCTCTTGGAAGCAAAGCTGCGCCCAGGTGTTACTTTAGCAAATGCTCTGAGGACCCTGGTCCACCTGGCAGCCCATGGCCCCTGTCCATGGCACCCGCCCCCCCCCCCAGCCGAGGGCCGCGGCAGCGGAGCCGAAGTGGGGGTCTGGGCTGGTGTCCCGGTGCAGCGCAGAGCCGGGACAGGGGCTCTGCTCCGGCAGTTGCTCTGACCCAGTGCCATTGGCATCTCCCCTGGCAGGAATCTGATGTGACAGCAGATGACCCCGACATCCCAGAACGAGCCCTGGGCTGTAGCCACGGAGCACGTTCCCCAGAGCATCCGAGTAAGGTCTCGCTCGGACCTGGAGGCCGGGAGGTTTATTTACAGCCACATCGATTCCGTCAAAGCCAATGAGGGGTTTGCCCGAGTGGGTGGGTGGGTGCCGGCAGTGCCCACCCTGCTCTGCCTCCCCTCCACCAGATGAGATGGGGCACAGGCCAGCCCGGCTGTGTCCAGGGGTGCCCCAAGGATGGGGGGAAGCTCAGCAGAGGCAGTGCCACACTGAGCACCCCTGAGCCCCCAGCAGGTCCTCGCAGCCCAAGAGGGGAGTCGGGGAGGCTCTGCCCGTGGCTGCTGGGGGGAGTGGGGCAGCATGGGCACCTTCTCCCAGCTCAGCAGCGATGCTGATGGCACAGCTTCGTCTGAGGTGGGAACGTGCAGCCCCACCGGAGGGGCCAGCAGTGCTTGGAGGGTGCAGGAGCAGCCGGGGACCAAAGCGTCCCTGGGGACCCAGGGCAGCGTTGGGGGTTGCTGCAGCCCTGTGCCAAGTGCTGCCCACGCAGCTCCTGGGCTGCCACCATGCCAGCCCTGCGCAGTGTGTCCCGCAGCGCCCAGGGCTCCAAGGTTTCCCGGCTTGTGTCTCCCCAGGAACCTTCCGAGGAGTGTGCAAGAAAATCGACCACTTCCCCGAGGACGCGGATTACGAGCAAGACACGGCCGAGTATCTCCTCCGTGAGTCCGCTTTCCCGCGGCGGAGCTGCGCGCGCTCCCTGGGGACCCCCTCGCCCCACGCTGCGCTGGCACCCCCTTTGCCCATTCCCCCCTCCTCATTTCCCACCAGAGCTTCACCCAGCAGGTCCCCCCGCTCTGCTGGCAGGAGGCTGATGGGTCGCAGCCCCCAGACTCGCCCTGCAGCAGTGGTGACCCTCCGGGGGACCCGAGCG